TATATACATATATATATATATATATATATATATAAATATGTACATCAATATGACATGAATTTGCTTAGTAAAATATCTATATTGCTAAATAAGATCTAAATGTCTAAGTGAAAGAAGCAGATTTGCCAAAATCAACAATAAATAAAGCCAGAAAATAAATAATGTTATAGTCAGTTACTTATATATATATATATATATATATATATATATATTATATACATATATATATATATATATATATATATAAATATGTACATCAATATGACATGATAGTAAATAGTAAAATATCTATATTGCTAAATAAGATCTATCTATCTATCTATCTATCTATCTATCTATCTATCTATTCTTTGAACAATATGTGAAATGTGACACACGGAAGGATAGAATCCTGGACAAGCGCTATGGGAACATTAAAAAGGCTTATGAGGCCAGATCTAAACCCCCTTTGGCCAATGTTGACCACAATACCTCTACCTCATTCCTACATATAAAACCATGCTCAAACGTAGCAAACCAGTAGTGAAAGACGTAACAGTGTGGTCAGATGATGCTATAGAAAGACTAAAAGGTTGTTTCCTATGCAGACTGGGATGTTTTTAATAACATGGACATTGATGAGATAATGTACTTACTAAAAAGAATGTTATCGTATATCCGAACAATAAGCCGTATATAACTAAAGAGCTGAAGGATCGCATTAATCGGGAAAAAAACTGCATTTAAAAACAAAGATTATGTTGAGTTGAAAATCATACAAAAAGAGCTCAATTGTCAGTTAAGGCAAGCTAGGGGATGACAGAAAGATATGATTGAGTATAATTTTCAAGGCATTAATGTTTGCCTACAAAACAACCACTGGCTCTGCACCCATTTACCTAAATTCATTACTTCAGAGTTATGTGCCCTCTAGAAGCTTGCGTTCTACAAGTGAACGACGCATTATTGTGCTATCTCGAAGAGGCACAAAATCACTTTCACGGACTTTTTCATTAACTGTTCCCTCCTGGTGGAATGACCTGCCCAACTCAATCCGAGCAGCTGAATCCTTAACCATCTTCAAGAAACGACTAAAAACACATCTGTTCCACCTTTATTTGACCCTCTAACTCTAGCACTTTCTATTCTATTTTAATTCTACTTTATCTATATTTATCTTCTTTTTTATTGATTTAAAACAAAAAAAAACAAAAAACACCAGCTTTCTATTTTTTCTATTCTATCTACTTGTTTTTCTGTGTGTGTGTGTGTGTGTGTGTGTGTGTGTGTGTGTATA